TCTCTCTCTCTTCTTCTTCTTCTTCTTCTCTTCTTCTTCTTCTTCTTCTTCTCCTGGGGATTTTCATGTACCAAGTGCATAGAGTTGCGCCGGCTTGTATTATGCGCGCGTCGCGAGTTAGCCGCATCTCGATCCCATAATCAGGTAATTAATCGTCGAGTCATCAGCGTGAATCAGCTCTTCAGGATGGCTCATACATCGATTTACCCGATACGCATTTGCATTTCGACAGTTCATTCAGTAATTCGCGCGTCAAAGCAGGAAGCGCTCCGCCCCGGCAAACAGCCGGTTAATTACGCTCGTTACATTCATAATTACACACCGCGTTAAGTCCAGATTATGAGGAGGTCTCGATTCCTCTTGAGGTGAAGAACGGAGGATCGATATTGGCGGCAGACATGGCGGGGGAGAGAAACAATCACTGGTTTGTCCGCTGAAGCGCGACGCTATTATCCGCGAGATTTGATGACATAATGAAAGAGCTATTGAAATAATCGATGATATAATCACGGATATTAACGATAATTACTTTTACGCTCACTTGAAGTATGGCGTTAGACTGTCATCGGACGGCGCTCAATTAACTTATCTAATGGTGATTTATTCTCTTAGAACACGATTCTCTTTCTCATTGTGAGCTATGACGTAAACTCAACTATGCCAGAAATTAATCTCAAATGCAATTTATACCTACCTATCTCCCTCGAGCTTTATTTACAAATAGCAATGACATAATCGATTATTTTTAAACCGAAAGCAATTTATATTTTGCATTTTTAGGGAAAAAAATTGACAAGAAATCTTTCTTCGTTCAAAGGACTTCCCATTAATCTGATCTCTATCCGGAACATCCTTCCATTATATTCGTTACAATTACAATCGTGTCTTCCTGCTTTATTACTCATTCATAACGTGGTAGCGTGTGCATAAGTTTCAATTAGCGTAAACACAATACGGATTTAATCATCACTATATATGCGATTATTAACTTGCTACTTGGAATGGCAGACGGCTTTATCTGCTTGTATCGTGCTGTTGTTGGCACTGCACAGGCAGCTCGTCGCGCGACCTTGTCTACTTAAGACACCTTCATTGTAGCTGCAAAGTGAGCATAATAATGGATACTTAACGATTCGGTATGGAAAACAGCCTAATTGCGCGGATACGTTTAGATGCGCCTGCCATCACCAGGAAACGTAGCTGCCAAGTCGCGCCGGGGAACATTGCGAAATGGTTTTCTTGGGAATGCAAATGACTCGACAAACGCTCATTCTCGCCTCTAGAAGCTGTTTGTTCCGCAAAACGATATCTAATCATCTAATTACTTGATTTCTATTTTTATTATTATCACTCCATTAGCGCTCGTATAGATCTCTCTTATTTAATTTCTCAAGATATTTTATTGTAAAAGTTTAAAAAAAGCACATTATCATTTCCTCTCGTCACGTCGTTCTCTCGTCTGAAAACGGCATACCACTTTAATTACACTCCACAGAGTAATTTTAAAAATGTACTACACGAAAAAAGGATCACTGCACTCATTTGAAGATATTTTCGGTGACTGAATGTTTATCGTATACCCAAATCTTAATTAACAAACTTAATAGATGAATTAACGGTGTTTCTAGCCTCCCACAACGGCGCCTAAGTTTCGGTTACACTATGAAGACGACGCAATGGATTGGATCCCACGAGCATTTGCATTTTTCTACCGGAACGGAGTGTCAAGTTCACGGAGAGTATGCTAATTGAGATTCTTCTCTCGCTCTTAATGGAACCTGTAATATTTTTTTGCTACCTGTAATATTTTTTTTGCTCGCACGTCTAAGCCAATTCCGAACTTCCACGGCAACTATGATAGAATTGCTCGTGCGAAAGCCGCTCGCGACATTTATCCGCGTCAAAATTTTCCTGAGGTATAACGGGCCACCATATATATGCGCGGAAATATAAAACTTTAAACTTTCGTCGAGATTTAGTAAATTTTTAATCAACCTTTTCCTCGGTAAAGCTCAATTTAAAGAGATCATTTGTCACAGGATTTATTTTTAAATATCCCTGCCATTAAAACCCGAATTAAAATTCCTCTTTTAATCAACACCTCGATTAACTTAATTTGGCTGCAATTTGTACCTCTTCCAGAATAAACGATTCAATTACACATATGCGCGATGTGGCGGTTATTACTTCCTGTTAACCCCGGGCTATTGACCGAACGTTTATAACTTCATTACGATGTTATTTCTGCGCGTTCGATATATAGCCCGCGAAATTTCGCGGCGGGATATCTCACGGTGAAGTCGGTAAACTCGTCGTTCGTAGCCGTCTTGGCTACGTACGTAGAGGTACGTGCTTAAGTTATACGTACCTTCGGTATCTGCCTCCTCGAGGCGTACAGGCCACGGGAAGAGGTCAAGTACTGGACTTGGTCGACCTGCAATTTCGGTAATTTCGCGCGCGCGCACGTTCGGTTATCGAACCTCCGCCGAGACCCTTCGGGACCCTTTCGCAGGGCGGTCCGACCGATACCCCGCGTTTAGGTTGCCCGGCTCTCCTCATCCCACGCCGTTTCTACGTCCCCACACCGTAGATGCCGTCCTTCCCCTATCCCATCGTCCCCCGACACTTCTTCCCGATGTTTAAAATCGATGAGTTTGCACGAGATCGTTCGATACTCGTTTCGATACTCGGTCTTCCCGCCCACGTCAAAAGTTTGTCGAAAATTTGCAGAGAAATTCCGCGGAAGAGTGTACCATAAATATCCCGATTACGATATCGAGCAGCGAAATTACACCATTATTTGCGATTAACTTTCACTCGAGTTTGTTGGGGTTTTTTAAGTCTGATATATTAAAAGTGTTCTTTAAGAATAACGCATCCGATACACCCGCGTTAAAACAAACATATAATTCGTAATTTAATCAATTGAAATGATCTGAAAAAATAAAAGTGAAATCATTCTGTTAAAGGATACTCATCTATCTAGGAGAGGATATAAATTTAGAAGCGTAACTCTGTATTATATTCTTCTAAAGTCTCATAATAATACTCTCATTAATATAAATAATGAATCATTAAAGGAACTTAGTGATGCAACGGGAATTGTTGTTTGATTCAATCTTGGATGGGAAATTTTGGATAGACTGTAACAAAGTTTCGTTAAAGAATTTTATATCCTGAGGGATTCTCTTTAGTAACGAGGGATGTAACGTACGTATTGACTTTTATTTCTCGAGAACAATCGCGCGAACAACAGAATGGAGAGAGAGAGAGAGAGAGAGAGAGAGAGAGAGAGAGAGAGAGAAACAAAA